TTCCCAGCGGTGCGACTAAACCAGCGTTAGATGAGGGTCGGGTTCCTCAGTTCTTAACTCTGCCGCCGGCTGTTACGGCTCTGCTTATGTAGTGCTGCCTTGCTGCCTTTTTTCCCCTTGTCTCCCCTGAAGGAAGGACGAGACTTGGAATATTTAAGATCCCGTCAAAGATCTAGAGGAATCTTAAAAATAGCAAAGAAACAGACTGCTTTTGGGATTTATTCAGGAAGTGTCTATCAGTGAGACTCATAAACACACAGTAGTGGCTGTTAATCGGTTTTACAGATGTACAGTTGTCTGTGCCTGTAAAGGTAAGATAAAAGTGAGGAACCCACAACAAAAAAAGAAGCATGGTTTCTGTGTACTTTGTACCGATTAGAAAAAGCCTGCTAATCAATCCATCCAAAATGAGGACTACGCTATTAGCAAAATAGCATTTCATTCAAAAGACTCACCATTGCCAATCCCACTCTGCAATTGTAATGCAGAATATAGCTGACTTTTCTACCAGTTCCATTTTTGTGCATGTGCAAGATCTTTACATTTCTGTGATGTATACGTTTCAAGACTGCTGTATTTGGAGGAGCAAAAGAATGATTTCTTATTATTCAAATTAATAAAATATTAGTTATAGAGCTGGAGATTATACTGTCTTGAAAATATTTGTAGTGTTGACTATATTACTAGGTATCTAGCAACCATTAAACCCAAAGGCGTTGGAGATCTCTCTTGTTTTCCAGTGTACTCCTATACACACATGGCCTGACTGTGTGCCAGAGCACAGGATTTTCTTTGTTAACCTTCAGTTGCTATTTCAGAATTCTGCAGAATTCACAGAAGTTTTGTTAACCTGGAACCTAGCAAAGAGAAAAATCTTAAAGGTTTTATAGCAATATGTAAAGAAATATTAACTTACGCTGATCTATGTGGCAGTTTAACCTGTAAATTAAGGACAAAAAATGTTTTCTACTGTGTAACTTAGTTGCCTGTTGGTATTACTGAAAGATCTAGGCAGAAGCAGAAAGAAAAATACGCCAGAAATAGCCACATGGTGGATAAAAATGCGTAACTCGAATAGTTTGAGCTAGTTTCTTTGCTCGCTCTAGGAGGAGGGTTATTAATGTTATCCAGTTCAGGTTAGATACATGTAAGACTTCAGTCTAAGTCAGAGACTGTCAGTTAAGAGTGTGATTCCCCTTAAAGTCAATGGGGAGACACAGATGTTCTAGAGAGCACCTAAAGCCTCATATAGGCTGTGTGAATACCCTCCCAAAGCGCCTGAGGTTTTTTCTCTTTTTCTTTTCATCTTTGATTCTCCAGGTATTTGTTGGTGTCAGTGAGAGTGACGCTGTGGTCAGTTGCAGTGAAAAATAGTCACACATAAAACCACTGGCATCTGAACTGCAGTGAAGAAGATTGACACCAGTGAGCTTAGTTGAGTTTTAAGGCTTACCTTTGAAATTTCTTCTTATTGTAAAGTAAAGACCTGATATAGTAGATACTTGTTCCTGTCCTATATATCAGAGAGTGCGTCTGTGTTCCTGATGCAGATTTCTGAAAGAAAAGATGCTTTTGAAGCAAGCATGGTATGGATTTCCTGAGAGAGAATTAGAAGAAATGCAGCTTTTTTAAGAGATCAGAGTGAAATCTCTCTATTCTATATGTAGGCTACTGATTTGTGTTCCAAGTTATGTTTACTGTTAAGAATGTCCAGAAGTAGACTGAAGTCCAGAAATGAAGCAAAACTCACAGGAAGAAGTAATGCACTTTATTTGGCAGACTGTTAGGAGCAGTGATTAGTAACAGAAAGCGGCCAGAATAGCTGCCAAATTGTATCATGAATTGGAGAAGACACTTGGCTTAACTATACTGGAGAGGAAGTTGAAAGACTTTGACATAGGGCCTTCTTCCTCAACCCCACTTTAAAACTTGAATGTATGTTTTAGTGTAGCAAAAGTTAAAATAACCAGAGTATAGATCTTTTGGTTGTCCCAGGCAGTGTGTAACTGGAAGTGGGGTTCAGACATGTACATCATACTAATTTAAAAGCCAGTAATGACAAGTGTGTGTGTAATATGACTATTTTATGAATCAGCATGCCTTGTCTCTGCTTATATTGATGTCATCTTGTTAGTGACATTACTCCCCCACCCCCTGAAACTGGACCTTACAAAAAGCTTAGCTCAGTTTCCTCTATGAAAGCGTTTAGCTTCTGTTGCCATTGACAACTTCTGGTGGCCCCTGCTGGGGATGGTAGGGTACTTTTACTTTCTTCCAAGGAAGCCCCAGGTGATGATCTCCTTTATAGGAACAGTGTTCGTATACTTCATTGCAGAAAGTTGTTAGATCCTGATATAATATGTAAAGGCATATTTCTCCCTCATATTTGTGTGTGTATGTATCTACATATCTGTATGTGCACACTCACAGATGTATGTATAGACACTAGTCAGAAAGGACGCGAGCATCCATAAACACAGACCCTGTCAAAGCAAAGACACAGAGGCTACTTCTGCAGAGCGTAACATCTCCGGAGTGCTTTATAGACACTGTTTATTTTATACAAAATGCTGTGTTAACAGAATTTTAGGTCCGTGAAATAAAATAATTGTGAGGAGAAGATTATGTTAAAGTTCTCAGTCTTAATTCTGCCAAAGGTCACCTCTGTGGCATGAAACAACTGTAACTGAAAAATGCTTTTATATATATTTTTATATATATATAAAATATATATATATATATTTGACTGTAAACACTCTTCTACTCGGTGCAAAGCATGGAGCATGCTCAGTAAGTGAGAGCAATTTAGCAGGTAACCCCTGTCTTCATCATTCAGTGTATCCACTCCATACCTCATGTACTTTAGTACTAAACTAGTTTCCACAGTGACTGGGGCAGTATCCAGCAGTTCTGGCATGGGAAGAGGAAATTATTGAAAACTTTCAGAATGTCTTGTCTTTTTATTTTTCCTTATTTTAGTAGGAGCTGTTTGTATTTCATTCCCTTGTGATTGCTTGTTGATGTTATAACACCACGGATGTTTGATGTCCATTAATTTGGTATTTGTTTTCCAGTATGTCCTGTCTGTCCTGAAATTTACCTACCCTACCCTTTTTCAAGGGTAAGTACAATTTTAAGAATACATTTGTTTGAAAAATGACTCTCATCAGTAGATGTATTGCTGTTCTGTGCTGGAGCTAACTTTAGTACTTCATGCCATTACTGGCTTTTTGCCCTCTAGAGAACATACTTTATGAACACTTAGTAAAGTGTTCGTTCATTGCCTTGGTTAATTTTCAAGCATCATGCTGGTAATGTATTTAAAAGATACAGACTGTCCATAATTTCCGGGTTTTCTGGAAGTCTTATGCTTTAGTTAGGCATAAGGCCTTATGTCAAAGTCTTATGTCTTTAGTTAGGCAGGCAGTTTAGACACTGCCTGTCTTTGTTAGCTTTAAGTGTCATTTCCATTCAGATGTGGTGTATTCTCTTTCACTATGCTAATGAAAACCAACCTTAAACCAATCTTTAGGCATACGCAAATACAAAGTTGCTTATTTTCATGCTTAGCCATTTGCTGTAACTCTATATGGTAAGTCACAACTGTATCTTAATGACTGAAATGAGAAATGTAATGTTTGGCTGAGTATCCATACACACTGTGCTGTTACGACTCTGAGATGTTTAGTAGAATTGCATGTAGCCTCTAAAAAGTTAAGATTTCCCCCATTTATTCTTCTGGTATGTGGGTAAGATCTGCAGACACTGGATAACTGGAAAATCCTGTACTGCTGCTTAGCATGTATTGTAACTTTTTCCTGCCCTCCAGCCCCAGGACTGTGATCAACCCTAAGAATAATTCCCTAGGGAATCTCCATTTTCTTTGAGTGTACTCAGCTCTATTAAGTTTGCAGTGAATGCTTTCTTCAGTTCTCATACGTGTACACAAAAATTCGCTTGGACAAGACTTATTGTATGGGGGAAAAGGTTTTGAGTAGTGTGCATTAAAAACAAGTGCAGTAAGTCAACAGTAAAAAAAGCGTGCATTCAGTGGCATGCAATTGCATTGTGGTATCTGTTATTTCCCTTTTCTAGTATTTGGAAATGCTTTACTGTCTATATTATTACTATATTTTTCCATAAATGCTGACTTTTAAAGGTGACTCCTTGAAAATTGAGAGGCTCAGATGCACTTTCCTCTAGAGCTGTGGCCGAGCTGTGGCAGATGAGCATCCTGTAGGGAGTATTGTCCTCAGCAGTTAATGCTATTATTGTCTGCTGTCATTGTTTCCCTTCCCTATATAATTTAAGACTATATCAAATAGCGCTGAGGATCTGGAACTCTTGTCAACTTCTTTCCTTAACACATGAGATGAGATTCTTCTATACCCTCTAAATCTTTCAAATTAAAATTGATAGGAACTCATCCCTGGCTTGGGATGGAGCACAGTTGAGCCTGTAGCAAACATCAGGGATACGCAGCTTTTAAGCTGTCATATGCTCCTTGGCTAAACAGGGGGAAGTGAGCTATGATAGTAGCATTGAGTGTTCAGCATACCCTTTATGGACAGTGAGCTTGCTCTTCTCTCTCAATGTCCAACTGTATGTAATGTTACATAAGGTAAATGTGTGGGTGTGAATGGGATTAACAAACCCACTTACATGCCAATTACAGATGTTAATGTATTTTAATACTGCAGTACAGTATCTCTGTCTGAACAGTGCTACATGTTCAAGGATTTTCACCCAAGAAACACCTCTCTGAAAACTACTACCCGAAGAAGAAGGAAACTGATAATGTATTTGGAGCATAAAAAAGCTCAGTGTGCATCAGTGGTAATTTTAAGTTATCTGCAAGCTTTTTCTAAGGCCTCACGTACAATTTATGTAGTGGCCTGAGGAATCTCTTTATGAGGGGTTAAGCCATTGGGTACCTAAGTCAATGCAGAAAGTCTTTCAATTGTTATACACCTTTTCAGTAAGAACATCAGTGTCATGGTTTGTGTGCAAAGCTATCTTGCTGTGAAGACATTTTCTCTAGAGGCTCTGGACTAGAGGCTGTGTGCAATGTGATGATTTGATTGTTGATGACTTGTCACTTGGTGCTTGCTACACAAGATGGGGTGGGGGGAAACGATCTCAGTCCTAGGGACTTTAATCTATGACGAGCATGAACTACTGTGAGAAGTCAGAGTTAATGCTGGAAATTACCAGGTCTACACTTCTCATCTTTGGGGCTTGTTGGTCCAACTGAAGTAAGTCTTTGAATCCTGAAAGTGTATTTTTATGTGTGAAAGGATATTTATCTCCTGTGACAAACCCTGCCTCACTTGTATCTTTAAACTATCATGGCTGTAACATCACTGTTATTGTAAACCTTGCATGGCAAAAGACAATAAAATGGAGAACGAACAATGTAACCAGGGACATTGTGGTAGGTGATCCTTTATACAACCCTTGAAACAGAAGCGGGCAAGCACCAAAGAGACAGGAAGTCTGGAGGAAATGAAGGCCACACAAGATTTAAAGGGGAATAGAGAGCATCCATTGTAAACTGCAGAAAAGGCAGATAGCTATAGTCATGGGTGTGCTGTGGGAAACGGGTTTCTGAGGTCATGCTCATTGTGGTTAAAAAAGACAAATAATTCAGAAGTATTGCTTTGTTTCTATTTCAGATGGCAGACATTAGTTGGTGGACTTCTGCTTCACGTCTCCTGGAAGCTGGGATGGGTGGAGATAAGCTTGTGTTCAAGGTACAGTGGGGTTTTTAGTATCTACTAAGTATTTTTTTTTTCCTGTAGGTGGGTTATGATGTAATTATATTGGCTGGGGAAGACAGTAGCTTGCTAAAACATAAAATTCTGTGTAAGTTTGTGTCTGCATGTTCTGCCTCGCAAACGTAGGCTAGATCCTGTGTTGTAGTCTAATGTTCAGAGACACGTATTTCAGTGGGTTATTAATATAAAGTGGATTAAGTTCAACTTTATTATGGTGAAGAAAAAAGTGTTGCCATTAGTGAAGGATAACTTACCCAGTGATTTGTCTACTGTAAGCATCCCCTCCCTGAATTATAGTATCATAAGGAAAACCTCAGTACTGTTAGGTGAGGGCGTTGTCACCTCCTACCCCAAAATCTCAGTGCAGTTAAATCAATGAATGTGATGATCTATCTTTTTCTGTGTAAAGGCTGTATCCCATAGATGGGAATCATTTACCCTCTCCTGCCTCAAACACTTATAAACACAAAGCAAGTAGCCATTGCAGTGATGCAGACGTTCTGTATCATAATCAAATTCTAGATTAAAAGGTACTTTATGAATCAAGATCACCCGCTTGAACTGACAGCGGCGACAAGTTAGTACAATATTCTGGAAGACTTTTCTATGTTCATACAGATCCAGTCCACTATACAGAATGTGGTATTTTATTTCAAAGTGTTACGATATATAAGTTGTATGCCCAGAGTGGTAGTTCAGTCTCTGTTCCTGGGGATGTTCAGAACTCGACTCTTAATTGGACAATGCCCTGAGCAACATGATTTAACTTTGAAGCTAGGGGATTGGGCTAGATGACTGCCAGAGCTCCCTTCTAATCTAATTCTTTTCTGTGATTCTGTATCAGCTGGTGGCAGCTAATGGGTTTACTCTTTGGGATTCAAACGGTTGATTTGCAAAACTGAAATTCCTCATTTGGAATAAAGTGCTTCATGCGTGCATGTGTGTGTAAAGAACGAGACCAGGCCTGCACGTGCTTACATTGCCCTTGAAATCTCAGTGAAATTAGAAACAGAAACAAAATTTATCTTCCTATCTTTTAAGTGCAGTTTGGATAAAATGAGGATATCGGAGTAAAAGCTGTCATGAATATTGGTAGAAGCAGAATTAGATACCAAATCTTGCTTTAGTGTCAGTTAGTGATATATGTTCTTATGAAGTTTTTATTATGCATGCATATTTTGTCCTCACAGTACAGCCAAAGGGCAAAGGCATACAGCCATCAGTAATGTCCTTTTAAATTCAGCTTTTCATTGTGAGTTGAGAAAGTACTTTTCCCTTAATTCACGAAAACAAAGAAATTTTTCTTTGCAGCTTGGAAAGCTTTTTCCTTTTGCTTTAGGATTTTTGATTAAAAAGTTCCCCACCCCCTGACCTGAAATGCATTAAAGAAAATACTGGACAAGGAACTATTCCTGAAGATGTTTTTATCTCAGAAATATTTTGATGAAAAATTATTTTATGTTTTGAAGATAGAGATTTCCGGCCACTAGATGTCAGCATAATCTAGGAAAACTGATAAAAATAAGTTTTGCAAAACCTTTTCAGCAGTCTTCTGGAATAGGTGTGTTCTGTATTAGCTGTGGACCAAATTAAATGACCACGATTCATTCATGTATTCTGGATGTAATTTATCAAAGTACTTAGGCATCAGTTTAAATCTGTCTTTCTTCAGAAGAATTAAGTGCACACTTTAATGCTTTACTGAACTGGACTCATAGCATCTATCTCCTGTATGTATATATAAGGAGGAAAAAGCAAGCAAACAAAAAACACCCTAGACACAACAACACAGAAAGGTAGCTTCTCAAAAGCTTCTCTCCAACTTCCCCTCAAGCTCTTTCCTCCTGCAAAGGGCTTTTCCCTGTGGTATAACCATGCTTCTCCCCCCCCCCCTGGATCTATCTTTTTTTGTACTTGCAGGAAGTTTAAAAATACCATATCCAGTCCCTAGACTTCTACTGAAAAAAATTAACTAGCATCCATTTGTTTATTCATTTCCATGTAGTCTCAGTATCTTCTGTCTTGCAGACGGGTCTCATATGCTTTCTGAGCTAGTTCAGGTTATTCCAAGAAAAATTATTTTAATACATAGAGATTACCAGCTTTTGTCCAAAGAGCCCGGCAAACTCGGGGACATTAACTTCACAATAAAGACCAAATGAAAACTGGTCCTCAGTTCCATAAAACATGTTAGTTAAGTAATTTCTTTGAGGTTTTATGGATATTGTGCTTTTCATCTGCTTCCCCTCAGCTTTCCCACCTGCCAAGGACTCTGTTACCGTTCTTTTTGCTTCTAGAGGGTGGATGGTGACTATCTGCAAACCCGTGTCATAAACAGGAACTCTCTGGAGCACAGAAGAACATGCATAGTATCTACATAAAGCCTCCAGTGCTGAAATCTCAGCCACCCAGCTTCTGCCTAACCTCCTAGGCACCCAAATTATCTGTGTTCTGTTTTTATTTCTATTACTTTTGCAGTTCCCCCGCAGCTAAGTAGCAGCTCAGATCCTTAGCTTAAGTGTGGTTTAGGGAAGACTACCTATTGACTTCAGGAAGCTTTAGATCTAGCTTTATAATGGCCAACTAGTCAGTTCTTTTATGTCCCTCAGCTTGCTTTCTTTGCACATACATCACTGTATTGCCAACATTAGAAGCTACTGATTGGTTTATGTACAGGACAGATTGTAAGTGCTGATATGTTGTATCAAACACTCATGCATTCTTTTCCAGTCCAGAAATTCCCCCTTGGCAGCATAAAATTCTACTTTTACATCATGGGAAAAGCAGCTGAAGTTTGTTTCCATTACATTTTACATTACTGCATTGGAGATGGGGACATATTTGGGATTCCTAGAATTTAGTGGTATGGAACATGAAAAGGTGATTTTTTTTGATGGCCCAAATGGAAATTCAGTTCTCATCCTGTGTTTCTTCTTTTCACCTCCCGCCCTCCTTTCTCTCCTTCCCCCCCTCCAATTTTACTCCAATTCTGATAGAGATTGATTGATACCTGACATGAATTTGTTGGTAATGAAGTATGACAGTTTTAGATCTGGTCTTGGCAAAATTCCGGTTGAATCAGTAACCTGAAAAGGCACAGTGTTTCTTCAGAAATGATAATGACTGTCCCCCAAAAACAGAGCAAATATTTGTGCTAGTGAAAGGATCTAAAGAATACTCTATTTTTGCTACCCTGTTTTTTTTGACCAACTATCTTTGAAAACTATGAAGAGAAAGGAAACATGATGTTTAGGTTTTTCCCCTTGTCTTATGTTTATATAAATCTTCAGATGTATTTTATTTTTATTCACATAGTCTAATTTTTTTTCTTTTAGTGGTCTATTTTTCTTGTATTCTGTGAAATGTGATAATGTAGCGGTACTTGCAATTGCATTTTGATTCTTTCATGCTAGTTGGAAATGTGATCCAAATGAAAGTACTGCACACACTTTTATTCTAAGAGCCGGAATTATTCACTAACGCTCTCTTGATTGTAGCCCAAAGCTCAGGAAGAGTTAGTGAAGGTACCAGTGTCTTCAGTAGCCTTTGGATCAGGCCTTTAAGTCACTGCCACTCTTCTCCTGACTTACTCAATGTCTTAGATTACTCCTTCTGAAATTTGCCACCTACCTGATCCCTTTTTTCCCTTTAAGTACTGAGGTCAACAAAGGACAAGTGCAAATTTTGAAGCCCCATCTCAAAAAGTGAAACCTGATCCCACTGCAATAAATATCACTTGAAAAAAATTCAGATCAATCTGTGATGACTTCATTACTCCATTAGTTGTCAAACTGCCTTTAGCAGTTTGGCTTAGTCAAAGGAATATCATTAAGAAATCTCAAGAGAGAGGCTCCCACAGAGACAATCTGATCTTCAGGAAGAATCTCTTTGTAAATCTGGCTGAGAAATGAATGTGTGGGTGGGCAAGTGTATTTGTACATAGTGAAAATGGGTGCTGTCTGTGCAAGTGCACCATTTTATGCCTTCGTTTGTCAGTTTTTCTTCCTTTTACGTCAAGGAAATCGGTTGAAATGAAATTTCTCTCCTTCAAAACCAGTAGTAGTAATTGCTATGAAAGAGATTAAACAATTTTTGAGAGAGAGGAGTGAGAGAAAGAGTAAAAGAATACATTTCTGCTAGTGCATGTACTCTGTGATTAAATGAAGTGATTCACTTCTGTCTCAACTTCTTTAGTAAATGGGAGGAGTACTGAACAATCAGACAAGGGATTTAATGCCTACACTTTTGAAACAGATGTACCTATATGCATGTTGTATTCTTCAAGTAACCGAATGTGGTGAATTAATGGGGTTTTAATTGTTTTCACAGGTCTGACATCCTGTCATGGCTTCCTGCCTCAGTACTTTTTGTGGGCATTATTTATGCTGGCTCCAGGGCACTGTCTAGACTGGTAAGAAATGCACAAGTAGAAATCAGTTCTTCATTGTCTCTATCTCATGAAGAAAGAATGTTCCCTTCACACAAGGGGCTTAATGCTGTCCCTGGGCAGGGAGGGGAAAAGAAAACCTATTGACTATGCGAGAGTAGTAGTCTAATCCTGTGAATTGCAGAGCAGTATGAAAAGGTGCAAAATTCCTTCAGATCTTCCTGACCTCAGCGACAGTCAAAAGCACTCAGCATCTCTCTGGAGCACTCAGTATTTTGCAGAACAGATCTGAATTGTGCCACCAGGGAAGAAGCTGACGAAGTTACTAGGTGTAACTTTTTGCATAGTGGGGAATGGGACATAGATCAGTAGGATATGTTTCTAGGAAAAGGACAGAGACCCTTTCAGTGCGAGGCTTTTGATGCTTTACAAGGTTTGAAGAAATAAATTGAACGTTGGGAAGAGATTATGGGAATGGCTAGATTAATCAGATTGATTCATTTGAATCACAATAACCTACCAAAAGCTTAGCGGATATCAAATCTGCTTTCATTAAAGCTAGATGCTTTTTTCTTAAGTGATTCACTGTTTCCTTTAATTTAAAAAAAAAAAAAAAAAGTTCTGTTACCTCAGTGTTATACTGCTGTTACACAGTCTATAAGACCAGATTCTATGGTAGGTTCCTGCTGCTTTCTGTCAAAGCAGCCTAGTTTAACTGCAGAGCCAGGTTACTCCTATCAACTCCTAAACCCCAAGAAGGATCAAATGGGAATTTTCAACAAGGATCTGCTTGCAGTGATCCCTTCTTGAACATCCTGTTGGAAAGGCAGGGCAGAAGAGGATGGGAGATCTCACAAGCAAGGCTGTGGGCCTGATCTCAGACTCAGGTGATATTGAGGAAAGCAAGGCCATGTGCTCAGAAGCCACATGCCTCCAGATTAGCTGTCTCGTGGCAATTGCATCGACTTCCTCTTGGTTCTTTATCAAAGCAAGTTCCGTTGGGCTTCCCTTGCGTAAACAGAGTAGAGATCTCCTAAGGAAAGAACTGCCTGGAAACAGTAACCAAGCCTTTGGCAGCATCAGTTTTTCTGTCTGCTCACCTGGGAGGTGGAGGAGGTATGAATCACATCCTCCTTCTATTTCTTCATCTTCCTGAGTTCTCTTGTAAGTTACCTTATTTCGTTCCTTTCCCTACTCTGTGATCATTGAAGAGGGTGAGATGTGCTGGAGAGGCACAAGACCTGAGTCTCTTCCTGGTGTGAATAGTTTTGATTATATATCCCAAATCTTTCTTGAGCAGCGCTTTCCACTTCTGCACGGCTTTTTTTGTTGTACGTAGATGGGAATTTAGGGACCTAATTCTATGACTCTTTTAGCATGGAGGAAAGACACAAAGATGAGTAGTCTCAAGCCATAGTGGCATGTAGAGCACTGTACTAGGGCAAAAGTCAATCTTAAATGCAAGCTTTAGTTTCAGCAGCTTTGCCTACACTGCTTTTACTGCATATGGAGACGGAAAAAGGACTCTCCTGATCCTTGTATCTGAATTGTCTCACCACAGCAGTGTATTTGAATTAAACGAGTCTGCTTCTAAAATAGACATTATGTGAAGTCTTTTTGATCAAGTCCACGAGCACCTGCTTTCAAACGCTCCCTATTTACTGGCAGAACTAGAGTCTTAATCTCCATTTGTCTCAAGAGACACTGGCAGTCTCTCCTGCACAGGAGTTCAGGGCTAGCAGTAGAGGAGGGCTGCTTAGCTCTGGACTGTGATGCATTAGCAAAATTATGCAGGACTGTGAGAGTAGGTTTGTACAGAGTGTGTTCACCCTGCCTGCCCAACCAGTAAACCTTTCTTTTCGTAAGCATTAAGCCCACTCACAAATAGTCACATCAAAGACAACAAACATACGGAGAAGGTTAACTGAGCTAGGCAAACTGGAGCCATTGCTGGCTTCAAAACACGTTTAGAAGAGCCAAAAGCTGAGGGGGGAGGGAGGGTGAAAAACCCCAACAGATTGGATCCCGAAAAGGAAGAATATAGATTTTGCTGTCAACTTTCCTTGTATACCTATTTTTTTCCCCTTACATTTCCTATTATCGTGTCAAGCACAAAATGCTAGTGTTAGATACCTCTTTTTTAATGTTCTCAGTTGTGCAGCAACAGGATTGAGAATTGGTTTTCAGTACTGGTGAAACAGGAGCTGACAACTTCATTTCAGCTGTTTGTGTTATTTTCATTCCTTGCTAACTTAGAGGTGTTAAGAGTTATGTTGGTGTAACATTTTTTGTTTGTGGATCCATGATGGTTGTCATTATGACTAATTAATGATTATCCAGCTTGAGGGGAAAGAAAAAAGATCCAGAAAAATCCAGATTTCTGTTTGCAAACTCAAGTCTTTAAGAATATCACTTGATACTTAGGAGGCATGGACATCCCTGAGGTATTAACTTGTTCTCCACTTATGTGCATAGAGTGAATTAAGTATTATCTGTGAGCAGGCACAATAGTGCTTCCTAAAACTCTTGATTTTTTTAGGTAACCTAAATTGGGGTAGGAGGTTGCTTTAGTTTTGACAATCTCTGCTACACCATGGATCTGATTTGGAGGAAGTCAGATTTGGGAATCAGTGGCTGATTTCTGCCTGGGGTGGTAGGTGTTTGACTCGTTATCATTATCATTGGGATTTGTTTCTTAATGATTTCATTTTAGGAAAGTGTTCGGATGCCTTGTTGGCTCTAATTTCAGCATCACTCATATGTGAACTATTATATTTCTCCCCTAATTGCTGGCAGATATTCTTAGTAGTAACTGAAAGCAACCACCTACAATCATCTTACCCATAGTTTTGTTGCTAGGAATAACACCGTATTCTTAGTACCAGCCCACAGAGATGGGAAAACTAATGAAGACAGTTTCCTATGGAAGGTGCAGATATGTGAACGGAGAGGCAAAACTAGAAGCGTATACTTGGAACAATCTCCCTGTGGTAGCTCTGCACAAACACAGTGTGCACCCCAAAGTCAGAGAAACAAGCAGGATCTGGATTTAAAGGTAGATATATGAAAGTGCCTCTGTCGTGGGATAGTGATCCCATTCTTGGGACGGGTCTAAGGCACTTTTAGGAGCTGTGATATGGATTTACAGTTAACAAACAAAAAACAACCCTGGGACAGCTAGCCTTAGAGTACCCCTTCCTGTGTCCATGACTGTTCAGAGTTCATTCAGACTGTTTTTTATTCTCTTCCAATGGTAGCCAATTCCGATGTTCCTTACAGTACACAATGCGGCAGAAGTTATAACCTGTGGGTTCCAGAAGTTTGTGCAGAAAGAGGTAATTGATATATTAATTGATACCTCCTTTGATATAACTGCCCTATAGCAAGACACCGGCTTTCTCTTATTACTGGCTTTGGTACTGTTTGCCCTTGTAGGCTTACTGTGATAGCTAGTCATTAATGAGTCCCAGAGAGATTTGCTGATGGCAAGTATCTATTTTGACCTTTTATTTTCCCCTTTAGTTAAGGAAACACCGCAAATGCATATCGACCATTTGACCTGTGTTTTTAAGACAGGCTTTTTGTTTTTCCCCCTTTTGAAAATTAACATCCCCTCTCTCTCTGTTGCCATAGGTAAGAGTTTCATCATTTGAGTTAAGGGGGGAGAACTGGGTCCTTACATCTAGCCAGTATAATATATCTAGCATTTGATACGTTGTATAATTATAGGTAGATTACATCTCCACATGAAATGCAGGAAAAAAAAATTCAGTTTTTGGATCTATTTTTTAATGTTTTGGAATGTGTCCCGAAACCTTTTAAAGTTGGGAGAATAATTCCTGCTTGCTTTAAGAGCAGAGTCTGTTTCTCATAAACTGCATTGGAGAGCCGCCTTCTTAGGCTATGAAATGCTTTTCTGTTTGTCTGATTGGAAAGCTGCTGTGTGAGGTAGCACTGGGAAGTGGTTCATGGCAAATTCTTTTCTACAAAGGCCGGTAGCTTGCTGTGGAAGGGATATTCCCTTCATTGTCTCTGTTGTGTATGTGGAGAGAGACAAATGGCCAGTGTTTGCTACTCCTAATAAACTCAAGAGCTCCCTAAGGCTATGTCCAAGGGGCATAACAGTGTGTACTGTGGCACACCCTGGGACGTTGTCCCCCAATGGCTGAGCCTTCCAAAGTGTGCCATGTTGTCCTTCAGCTCACATGCCTAGATTTCCTCTCCTTGAAAAACCAAAGCCCTATGGAGAAGGATAATACAAAGCCAGGTCTTGCTGGGAAGCCTCTGGGGAATAATATTGGACCAGAGAATTGCAGAAACTCTCCTGAGTTTAGACTGAGACTAATTTGACTGGGGTAGTACCTAATGAATTAAAAATACTCAATATTAGAATACATACAATACACGGTTTAGGTAAAAGTCAAGATAAAATTCACATCTGGTTTTAGGTTTACTCAGGAGCAAATAGTCTGAAAGGATAAATCAGAAGTTGGAGTAGGCCAATCTGTAAACCTTTGTCTTTTTTCAAATTAAATTTGCTTGGCAGTACTCAAAGATAATGGATTGTGGAATGTTGCTCACTGTTTTTGTTTAGTATTTCTGCTGCAGTAAGATCAGCTGTGGTATTTTCCTGTTTATGGAAGGGGAAAGCACTCTTTTGCCTTTTTGTTTTTTTAATCTCAGTTTCTTTTTTACAGCAGACCTCTCTTCTGAAAATCTGTAGGTAAGTATTTGTTTGGTTGGTGTTTTTTTTGTTGTAAACTCTAGATTCAGATTCAGACTTGTTTTGGCTCCAGCTTCTTGTATTTTCTTCAGATAATGGCACACCAAAGCAGTAAAGAATGTAAGACACATTCCTGTGGGCAGTAAGCCTAAATTGCAACATAGGAGTAATTAAATTTTTTTTAATGTATTTCCTTTTTTTAACTAGTTAAACATATATTTTTTTCTTATAAAAATTTTAAAAAGTCAGAAAAGCAGTATTTTTGGGGGGGGAAAAAAAGCAATGCTTATATTAATTAAAAAAAAAGGGGGGGGGGCAGGGGGTCTTTATTTCAAGAAATAACTCAGTTTTAAAGTTCCAGGAGATTATCTTAAACAGTAAGAAAGATAATTAATGTGATAGGAAACAACTAAAAATGTCTTTTCTAAGAAAGAAAAGGTGGGTGACATCCAGTTCTATTGACATCATTCAAATGAAGCTACACACCCTCAAAAATCTTTATTGGCCCTGGATGTTTAGACTTCAAAAAGGAGAAAGTGAAAAACAGAGGTCAACTATTCATATTTTAGAAATTTCTTTCTTCCCCCATCCCCTTGAAGAACATATAATTGATATTCTTCATATTTTTGTAGTCTTTTTCACTGTTCTTAGTGTACAATGTGGGTTTACTATTCAGTGTGTTTAGATGCTCTGTCGTCCTACTTTTTCTCATTTGCTTCTGTTATCTGGCTTACTATGACCTTGTTTTACTCACTGGTTTATTAGGCCAGGATAGCAGTTTTTCTTCTTTATTCTGTCTTTTCCTTCTACTGTGCTAGAAAGTCAGAAAATGAACTGCAAAAGCAAATACTCATTAATAATGATAGTCCATAGAAATCCTGTCTCTGTGTGCTCAGTGTAGCCTGTAGAAATACTGACTCAGCCACAGTTTGATTTATTTAGCCCGACCCATCTGACCAGAGGAGGACTTGTGCTGTTCTTAAGGTACCTTTAAGTGTAACACCTCCAGCTCCCACTTTGGTCTGCATTCTGGAGTTAGGGCATAACCTTGAAAGTCACCTCTGCTTCTTTCTGCTGAAATTGTTGTAATAGGCCACTTAATTTAATGAATAAACTTTGTGGGAGCCATCCATAGATAAAAAGGGGTTTTCTTTTAGGTTTCTGAAGCATGCTAGGGAAGCCAGATGGCAAGTGAAGACCAATACTCCCTGCAAGAAAGCCTGTTTGCATCACTAATGAGGCTGTTTTGTGACACTTTTCTCCATTGCAACTTTGCTGTGTATTAACTATGAAGAACACATGATATAAAAATTAATTTTGTTAGCAGAAATGACTCTTTAAATTTGTGGAATAAAAATGAAACAAGTGAAATACCAGCGTAAAAGTGAGTGGAAGCCTCCGGACTCCCTGGGAAGTACAGATCCAGGTTATGAGCTTTTGGTCTTGTATTTTCTCTTCCCCACAGTGCATTGTTCCTCCTGGTAGCAGCAGTGTGCCTTCCTTTATGTGACACACAGGTGAGCTCTGCTTTGTAAACCAGCTCTAGTTTGACCTTGATAGTCTACATCTTGTTAGTATATAAGGGAGAATATATATGATGCAGCTTTTACTTGTAAGCTAGGGTGGTCTCTAAGTTCTGTGAAGGAATTGTAAGTGTGGTCTGTTGCCATGTTATGGTGTTGCTGTTTTTAATGTGTTTGCATTGTGGTAAAACCTCTAAGCAGACCTGGAGCTCTTGGGTGAAGCCTGAGGCTGGGAAAACCTTTATTGAACTTCTAGAAGGGCTTTAAGCAAATCACTTAGGCCTGAATTTATTGCACATACTTTCAGCAGGTTCCTAAGTTAGCTCTGTAAGCACTCTACGCTCTTTCTGTAGCCCCTGGAGAGAGGGAGGAGGTACCTCTGGAGAGTAGTCTAGTCTGCTGAAGATCTGTTCTTTGGAGGTGCCTGTCTCTTGGAAGTTTAGGAAGGCTACGTCCTTGATGAAGATACCTCAGTTCATCTATAAAGTTATGTCTGATAAATCTGGGAATTTGGGTGCATCTGATCAAATGTAGACATCCATGATGTTGAACCTGAGCTGGCCTTGTGAGCATTCTTCCTAGTTGATAGGGCAGAGTAGGTAGTTCTGGTGTATAAATCATCTCAAATAAAAGTAGACATATAAAACATGCCAGATGAATTCCCCTCAAAAATATTTATTTCTCCCCATTGATGGTGAAGAGAGCTTGCCTTGTCCCGAGGTAGATAATCCACTTAAAGCATTCTTTTTGATACTTTTAAGAAAAGGGTTGTATATAAAAGCAAATGGAATGCTCTTCCCTGTCACTTTTGCTTGATCTAGGAGTAAATTTCCTCCTATCATAGTTCAGCAGTGAGTGAGGGCCATGGGGAGAGAGACTGTTTAGCTGCTTCGGGGGCTGAGAGGGAAAAGGAGACAAAAAACCTCTTACCCCCTTGCTCATCCCTGACTGTCTGTCCAAATGTACAGGAGGAGTCATAAGTTCTGCTGAATGAAAAATGGCTGCAATGCAAGAATAAACATGGTGGGGTCCATGTTCTCAGATTGTTTAAAATGATGTGCATCTGCTGAAAGGGAGAGAGCTATCCTGTATGTTTGGTCTCCAGAGGAACAGAGAAACCTTTAGTGTTCTCTGATACACTGCTCTTTGTAGTATAGCTTCCTCTGTACTTGCTTTGTTTAACTGCAAGGAAATATGCACATGTGTGCTTACATGAACCTGCATTTATTTAGATGTTCTTTATTGCAGTTTGATCTAAACGGTTATTTATGGGCTCTTATTCACTTGATCTGTCTTGGTAAGTCTTTGTCTTTTGGAAAAAGAATTGGGGAAAGTAAATGTGCTGGACATGCAAGCCATAGCTTTGTTATGAAGTTATTGATATTTGAGATTCTTGATGTAAGAAACACTTGGAAAGAATAAAGATCTGCTCAGGAAAGACAGGAAAGTTCATTCCTTTTATAGCTTTTATATTGAAAACTACAATAAACTAGATGTAGCAGTCACTTAACATTGCATGAGAAAATGCACATGTAGTTTTAATCAACAGCTTTTCTGGGACTTTTTGATGGTATCCACTAAGAGACCTTCCTCGAGGAGGGGAAAAGGAAACATGAAAAACAAAACCAAGGAGTAGATTGTAGTTAAAACCTTATTGCACACACCGATTTTTATTTAAAAATTGACAAATATTCTAAAACATCATTCCTCTGGAAATATATTCAATGGTGTTGAAATGTTGGGGTTTTTTGTGCAATCGTATGCATTTTTGTTGTTTTTAAACTGTGGGTTTCGTGACCTGTCAGTATTTGTATATTTCTCTTTTGTCTTTTTCGGAGTGAACAATGATTTAAATAAATCATGTTCTTCCTGAAAGCTGTAAGTCAGACCCAGAGAACGTGAAGAAAAGAAAAGTGGCAATTTTTAGCTAGGAGATGATAATTTTGTCTTTTGGAGCATTAGACTGGATAATAAGGAACTTACGTTTAGTTCTTAGCTGTCTTACAGACTTACTGAGCGACTGATTCATATGTTAAGTCTTGTCTGCAGATTAGAGATGATTCTGTCTTTATTTTGTCTATTCATTTTGTAAACTTGTCAGGGCAGAGGTTACATCTTTTTATGCATTTGTGTCTAGGAAGGTCTGGAGATTCCATTCTAAAATGTTAACATAAAATTAACAAATAGTATATTTTTTTCCTTTAGGAAATGACATATGGTAAATATTTGATCATTTAGGTAAAAACAAAAAGCTAAGGATTTTCCACTTTAAATATTTGTTTGCTGTAGCAAGCGATGCTACTGCTTTTTCGAAATCAAGAGGTCTTATTTGTAAAAACAGTGCTAGGCCACAGAGGTGGAAGGCAGCTTTGAGTTTTCAGGCACCCTCTGCCATATGGTTGAAACATGTAGGAAGTGTTAGTATAATGTTTATGCTCAAAATATAGCTTCTTTCTGTTTCTCTTGTTCTTGAGAGAAAGCTGTTGACATGCCTCTTGGGAGTTTTTGTGCAATTACATTTCCTATTAACTAAGATGTAGTAAAGATGCTACAGGAGAGGATGAACAGGTGAACCAACCTAACATACAGTTAAGACAGCATTAAAGGAAGGATGTGTGTTCTACCTTTCAGCTTGGTTACAGGAGGCAGAATTGAAGAGATTTATTACATAGTGTTCTAGCAGATTTGCCTTTCATCTTGTGATTTTTTTTCTTTGTGATTAAAGAAAAACAAGCCCTGAAGAAAGGATCTGAAAAAAATAGAGACTGAAGCTTTATTATTCCTTTCTTGACTGGTTAAAGTCTTTCCCAAAATAGAAGTGGGAGCACACTAAGAGCTGAATAGGTCAAGAGTGTCAGGAACCTAAAGACACTAAGTCTAAAGTGTCTTTAGAGAGAGTCTAAAGCTGAGGAAACTTCAAACAGCAAAGTTAGTTTAGAGCCAACAGTCGCAAAGGCCTACATGGATGAAGGCGTCATAGAAGCCCTCCCCCCCCCACCCCCCCCATGGGTGGGCCCTAAGAACCCATTTTTCTGCAGCAGTTCTCTTCGTGTGTTTGTATGCATGCCCACGTACCCACACCCCTTGGTTGCCATGAGCTGGGAGTCATCTCTTCAGAGAGATTAGGAGAAACACATAGTATTATCATCTCAGAGTACTGTCATACTTTGAAAACCCATTAATTTGAAGTGATAGGTGATTTTTATTCCTGATTCAGGCATCCTTTGTGCCACGTTGCTAGCTGTAATTCAGAAGGTTCCATGTCTGTACTATGGCCAAACCATTCATTGTTTGTCGGAGTGATTGCATGCTGCAGCAGTTACACTTGTCATTTCAATTACAGGAGCTTACAAAATATTTCACAAGTTATGGAAACCTAGCTCTCTAAGGTAATGTTCTAATATTCTCTTAAAAAGGAAGAGATTGCTATCAAAGAAGTTTAGACTCTTATTTATCCAGCAGTGAGGTAAACTGTAGGGATCTCTGCTTTATCAGAATAAAGTGGGGCACTCTTGATCATTAGTGATTTTTTTTTTTTTTTCCTTACCAGAGGAGCCTTATTTATTGATAATTTTAACTATACTATATGGCTATTGATATTTATACTGATTCAAATACTGCATTAATTTTAAATAGTATGTTATCAAAGGATGAAGATAACATCCTTTAGTCCTGCAAAAAGATCCACTCATTAACGTCAGCGGCATTAAGAGGAAACGTTAGTTTGTGAAAAGCCACAAACTTGAAAGCCACAGGATTTGTGTGTCAGTATCTCCCTTTGTGAGCAAGTCTCGAAAGCATGTAACAGCTGGTGACTTGCAACAAAACTTGAATGAGTACCTTAATCTTGAAACCTTGCACCAATCCCATGACTACTTTAGAACTAAGCCGGCAGTAAACAGTGTTTGAAATCAGGTGACATTACATGTTCATGGCATCTGTAGTCTGCAGTTGTCTGTATGGGGATGGATATGTTCCCACTGAGGATGGATACGTTCCCACTGAATGTTATGAGCATGTATGTGAACATAATGCATATGTATATAGAATATGGATAGGCTCATTTATTCCGGTCTTTAGTCAGTCTCCCATTGTCTTCACTTTCAATGAGATTACCATTGGCATAGTAACAACAGAAATAATGTAAAAGCAGTGTAACTGATGTGTAAATTAATATATTCATCTCTTCTATCAAATGAGCTGTGTTACTAAAAACACCTTTTTTCCCCCCTCCCAGTGACCTGGACCAGCAGTATATCAACTATGTATTCAGGTAAAATCGATAAGTCTTTTTGATGTACTGTGGTTGGTTTTGTGTGGTATATGTTTTAATTTTCAACCATGTTTTGCTTAGGAAACTCATAGCTACCACTACTTAAATATACTTGGTTAGCAGGACGTTCATGGAAAGAACATGCTTAGCAGCTGAATGCTTTGGCTCTGGTTACAGGTGGATATGCCAATGTACACCTGGGGAAGTAATGATGTGTTAATTATGAATTTTTAATCGCCATGTGCACAAGAGATCTTTCCAGAATAATATTTACGGGGTAACTCCTTGGCAATCTCCTCTCGGAAAAATCAAACTTGCACAAAATTGCCGGAGGGAGAAGATAGTGATTATAGATGTACCATGTGCAAAGAACATGAGCAGTAACCAATTGTTCAGAGTGCTGTTAGGGGGATTGAGTAATTCAGACCTTTAGTGGTTTTCCTGATTTGGAGATACAAAACTGATTTGTTGTTTTGTGGTTAATGAAAGAGCTTGAGTCACTAACCAGAGTCCTGTGTGTGTTGGGAGTGGGGGTGGTGTCCAGTCCTTTCCCCAAAGAACCATCTACGCCAATGCAATTAGCTTGCATGGCTTCCACTAGATTTTTCTGAGGCTTTATTTGAAGTAAGGCATGCAGAGATTTTGCTAGATCCTCCTCCATCCATAAGCAAACCTCTTGCCTCACTCTTTCTTGTACCCATTGACCTCTTCTTGGAATGGTAGATGAAATTGTAAGGAAATACTATGCAGTGTGAATACTAAGCTCTAAGGAAGGTGCGTGGTCTAACGGAATGAAACCCATCAGTTGGCTTGGGTAGAAGCAGAACAGAGAGCATAAGTTATAGCTAAGCATCACAAAAGTGAAATCATGCTTGTCTATTTGATTAGATGTCTGTGTGTTCCTGTCTGACCACATTTGGTAAAGACCTTTATAGGGATGCGTGTAGGACAGTTGTTTGACTTCAGTTCCCTTTTATCTTATGAACATCAACTTGATAACACAGTGTATCTCTATCCATCTTACTCCAATCACATCTCCTATATTCATAACTGAGTAGTGCAGCCCTCTGATTATGGGTTTGTGTAGTTCTAGTGAGTATTCACCAAGGATCCATGCATTGGCAATATCTGAATATCAGTTTGCTTGCAGTAGGCTTTTGGTTTGTTTAAGTTGTTTTCAGTTGTTATTTTCCATCTACTGTGAAGTGCAAAGCAAGTCAAGTTTAGTCAAAGAAGGCAGCTGCTTTTATTGAAGCTGTTTAGAAGAATGTTACAGTTAGAATTTGGAGATATGCTGCTATGTACAGAAATAATCTGTGAAGTCTTGAGAGACCTGTTCTGCTTAAAGCAGCCCTTTGTTCTACTGGCAGCTCTTTGTCTAATGTCAAAGGGAGAAAAATTGAGAACAGTAAAATTTATTTACTTTATTTTAATTTTTTTCATTTGGCATCTGTCTGACTATAACTCTCAATTGTCATGTTAGTTGAAGCTCACCTGAGCGTGAACCTTTAAATTCAAATTATAGCTCAGAGTCTCAATTTTGCAGCTTAGATTGAAAAATTAGGGTCAAATGCTCTACTATGTTAGCTGATGGTATCCTTTGAAGTCTGTGAGGTTGTGTCCAGCAGAGAGCAGGAGTTCTACATTGAATGGAAAGGATGATTACTGGTTTAGAGGTTCTTGAAAAAGATATTGTTCACTAAAAACTGAGATCTGCTGGTGCAGTGGTTTGTATTTAAAAGCCTTTTTTTAGCAATGGAGTTGTGGGAGTTGGGAGGTTGCTTTTTTTTTAAGCAGCTCTTTACAAGCAAAAATATGTTATCAAACCTTGTGAAGATTTTCATCAAGGGCTTAAGGTCAGTGTAGCTTGGAAGGTGATGATACAAAGCAATTGCTGGAGAACAGGTGGCGCTTTGAAAAGAGAAGGCAGATGAACATATACTTGTTTGTTTATGTTGGGTCTATGGACACACATCCACGTGCATGCTTCTACTGTTAGAGAACATTGCAGTCTCTGGCATTTGGGCCTCGTCATGTCTGTGGAAAACAAATAGTTACATGAGCAGTGGAACAAGTGGCATCTGGTTTCTTACAGACTTCTGTTTCGTTGTTATAGTTGGTGTTCAGCATGGTGTGAAATTTGGCAGGAGCTTTCTCCTTGTTTGTGACCTTCATGAGGTACCACTGCAATGGAGATTCTCAGGTGTTTAATGAGGCTGAGAGCTTTCTGTCACAGAAGGCACTGGTAGTTGTCTCTTCATGAGACCTGTGAGCATGTAATTAACTTTGAGGTCTCTGCTTCTCAAGTTTGGATGAAACTGTTTCTTAATGTGTTTGAGAGCTGTAAGGGGTGACTGACTGACACACACTATTATTGCATTAGCTTAATTTCCATGGAAGACAATAAAAATGTATTTTAAATCACATAAAACATTTTATTTTGAACATTGTCTGAATGAGTGCTAACTCCTTATGGTCAATTCTTGGTCAGAGTTACTGTAAACATGTGACTACCTCTGGCAGAAGGTGCCCAACATCACATTCTGTGATTTAGCACGTTTTGAGGTATATACTGCTCTCTCTGTACCAGGCTTCTCAAAGCCTATTTCAGCTGAGAGAGGATCGCAGTTTCATCTCCAGAATAGGAAAGTGTGACGCGCTGGTCGTCTTGTCTGTACTCCCATGTATGAGGAGAACTTCGTAGTGTAGTATCCATGCAACTTCTTTTTATTAAGAATAGTATCAATAGGCCTTTACAGCTCCTCATTTCTAGCATGGTTCAGACAGCTA